TGATGTCCTGCATGTATCTGTTTCTGCCAAAGTGATTTCATCGAATATCTTTGTTGCAGCCATTTTTTTATTTTCTTGATTTTTCGGTTTATTCGATTTTTCGATTCGGTCACTACGGTTTGAATCAATTTGGATAATACAGAAGAAAAGTCTATACATTGGATGGCTCTGATATCATAAAATGTATTAAATATTAGTGAAATAAAAATATGTATTAAATATACATTATTATTTCTCTATTATGACCTTTTAGATCAACTGAGAGGAGCCACAATATTTTCTAAAATAGATTTGAGGTCAGTATATCACCAGATTAGAATTAAGACTGAAGATATTCCAAAAACAGCCTTTAGAACTAGGTATGGACATTATGAATATCTGGTAATACCTTTCGGATTGACAAATGCTCCAGCAGTATTTATGGATTATATGAATAGAATTTTTAGACCTTACCCAGATCAATTTGTAGTGGTGTTTATAGATGATATTTTAATATATTCTAGGAATAAAGAAGAGCATAAGGAGCATTTAAGAATAGTATTACAAATTTTGAAAGATAAGCAATTGTATGCCAAACTTTCAAAATGTGAATTCTGGATGGAAGAAGTTAAGTTTTTAGGGCATGTTATTTCAAAAGAAGGAGTGACAGTTGATCCTAGTAAAATTGAGGCTGTAATACACTGGGAGAGACCTAAGACTATCACTGAGATCAGGAGTTTTCTAGGATTGGCAGGATATTACAGAAGATTTATTAAGGGATTTTCACAACTAGTGTTACCTTTAACTAGGCTAACTAGAAAAGGAGTTCCTTTTGTTTGGACACAAGAATGTGAAGATTGTTTTCAAGATTTGAAGAATAAATTAACATCTGCACCAATTTTAATAATCCCTGATCCTTTAGGAAAATTTGAAATTTACAGTGATGCATCTAAGAAGGGATTAGGATGTGTCTTAATGCAAGAAAGAAGAGTTGTAGCTTATGCATCAAGACAATTGAGACCATATGAGGAAAATTACCCAACTCATGATTTAGAATTAGCCGCAGTAGTTTTTGCCCTTAAAATTTGGAGGCATTATTTATATAGAGTCAAGTTTGAGATTTTTAGTGATCATATGAGTCTTAAATATTTATTTGACCAAAAAGAATTGAATATGAGGCAAAGAAGGTGGATGAAATTTTTGAAAGACTATGATTTTGAACTTAAATACCATCCAGGAAAAGCTAATGTGGTAGCTGATGCTTTAAGCAGAAAATCTCTTCACATGTCACATTTAATGGTCAAAGAAATGGAGTTGTTGGAAAAATTTAGAGATATGAAATTATCTGTGACTGTATTGCCTCGAAGTTTAAATATTAGTGAAATAAAAATAGATAATGAGTTGATAGATAAAATTAGAAAAGCTCAACAGGAAGATTCTAGTTTAGAAAAATCTTTGAAACATGAAGGATTTACCAAAGGGGAGGATGATTTGGTGAAATTTCAAGGAAGGATTGTTGTACCTAAGAAGGAAGAATTAATGAAAGAAGTTTTGAATGAGGCACATAGCAGTAAGTTTACAATTCACCCTGGCTCCACCAAAATGTATCAGGATTTAAAAAGGTTATTTTGGTGGCCAGGAATGAAAAAGGATATTGCTGAGTACGTGTCAAAATGTCTAGCTTGTCAAAAAGTAAAAATCAAACATCAATAGCCTTCAGGATTACTTCAACCATTAGACATACCAAAATGAAAGTGGGAAAGTGTAGCCACTGATTTTGTGATGGGTTTACCAAAAACCCAAGAGGGATACGTTACAATTTGGGTAATCATTGATCAATTAACCAAATCTGCTCATTTTCTATCAATTAGGGCTCAATATTCTATTGAGAGGTTAGCCCAACTATATATAAAAGAAATTGTCAAACTTCATGGGGTACCTCTAAGTATTGTGTCAGATAGAGACCCTAGATTTACTTCTAGATTTTGGGGATGTTTACAGCAAGCCTTTGGAACTAAGTTAAGACTTAGTACAACATATCATCCTCAGACTGATGGTCAAACTGAGAGAACCATTCAGACTTTAGAGGATATGCTGAGAGCTTGCATCCTTGAACAAGGAGGTAGTTGGGTTAGATATCTGCCATTAATAGAGTTTGCTTATAATAATAGTTACCACTCTAGTATTGGAATGGCTCCATATGAAGCACTCTATGGAAGAAAGTGTAGATCTCCAGTGTGTTGGTATGAAAAAGGAGAAAAACAGTTATTGGGTCCGGAATTAGTCCAAGAAACCTCGAGACAAATTCAGATGATAAAAGAAAACCTTGAAAAGGCACAAAGCAGACAGAAAAATTATGCTGATAACAGGCGAAAACCTTTGTCTTTTGAAGAAGGAGAACATGTCTTTCTTAAACTTTCTCCTACCACAGGTGTAGGCAGAACCCTCAAAATTAGAAAATTGAGTCCTAGATATATTGGTCCGTTTCAAATACTCCAGAAAATAAGGCCAGTTGCTTATCAACTTGCTCTTCCACCTCATCTTTCCAATCTCCACAGTGTTTTTCATGTTTCTCAACTTAGAAAGTATGTTCCAGATCCTTCTCACGTTCTCAATACAGACTCAGTACAAGTTAAAGAAAATCTGACTATTAGTACCAGGCCAGCTCAAATCCTTGACAAAAATTTAAAGCAACTGAGAAATAGGGTGATTCTGTTAATAAAAGTACGTTGGGAAGGACTTTCACCACACGAAGTCACATGGGAAAAAGAAGAAGAGTTACGACAAAGTTATCCAAATTTTTTTGAAGGTATGTCTAAATTTTGAGGGCAAAATTTTTATTTAGGAGAAGGGAAATGTAATAATCGAATAAAATAAATAAGTAAATAATAAAAAAATAAAATAACATAAAATAAAATAATAATAATAATAATAATAATAATAAATTAATTATTTTTGGAACAATCTATGAGCTACTAAGAACAAATATTTTTATTAGGTCACAAACAATTTAAAACTAAATTAAAATAACTTTAAGGTGTATATTATTCTTGAATTATAATATTTAATGTATACTATATCTTATGTATCTTAAAAATAAAATAAACTAAAATGAAATATAATAAAATAAAAGTGTTTAAGACAAGTTAAAATAATTGTATATCTTATGTATAATATTTTTTATTAATGTATATTTAAAAAATAAAAAAAAGAATAGTAAATGGCAAGGAGGGAGCCACGTGGAACACCCCCTCCAAGCCACAATTGCAAACTTTTTTCAATAAAGATGATGTAACTTCCCTGATGCAAGGTTAATGATGTAAGAGAATTAAAAAAAATAAAAAAAATTGAAAAAGAGAGAATCTAATGACTCAGCGTGCAATATGGATATATATATATATATATATATATATAGGTAGCCATCCAATGTTATTTTCATTTGGTCAGTAAAGAAGAAAAGTTACGAAGAGGAGAAATTACAGAGAGGAGAGTATACGAAAAAAAAAAAGAGAAAGAAGGAGAAGACGAAGGCATAATAGAGAAAAGGTAGTATTGAGAGAGTAAAACTTTCTCTTTATTTTCTTCCTTTTAGTTTTATTTTATTTATTTATTTTTAGAAAATTGTAATGCTGTTACTCTGCCAAAATATTATTTTTATTTCTTCTCTTATTAAATATTATTTGCATCTATATTCTTACCTTAATCTTTCTTTTAATTCTGTTTTAACTCTTATGTTACTAGGATATTCATTAAATTTTAAATTTTCCTTAGTAGTAAGATTTAACAAATTATTTGGTACCAAATAAATAATAAAAGGATGTGTAAATTTTAACTATGTTTGTTACTACTGTGAACTGACCCTCAAAAGTTTGGGATCAGATAGTTAGGATAAGGGACGCCTTATCATGGCTTGAGTTCCGCCATATCATAATTTTTTTCACAACTAGGAGACCCACAAAATTGGGAATTAAATTGGCTTCAGTTAAATATTACATTATTTACTGTTTTTATTATTTCAGTTATAAACTAACTTGGGAGATTGGTATTTTTCATTATTATGGTTGGAATGGTTATAGTTCAAACATCTCAATATTACTGAGAATTATCTCACAGTGTGTTTATTTTATGCTAACCTTTCCAGAAAATCATCATGCCTAACCTATCTTTTTCTGGAGAAGGATGGACTGTGAATGTTTATTTTTATGACGATCGTTGGGAATTTTACATAACAGTTGGAAACCAAGGAGCAGCAGCTATATTTCATGCAGACACTGTGGAGTCCTATACCTATAGGCTAGATTAGATTGAGAAGTATGTAATGAATAAACAGTGTAACCTGATGTAGTAGGAGTGTAATATATGTGTGGAACCGATGTAAAATATTTGGAATGTAAGATATTTGTACTAACTTACATCCATGTGTAATAAATGAAGGATGTTAGTGTTTTCAGTTAATCTTTCTAGATTTATTTTCTCATTTATTTTGGTTATTTATTATTATTTCTAAATATAATTATTTACTAAGAGGATGTTACATTTTATGGTATCAGAGCCATCCAATGTATAGAGTTTTCCAAATGAATAAATTGATTCATTTATTACATACTTTTCTGCATGATTCATATTTTTATTTCACTATTATCAACTTTTCTCTATTATGCATATTTTGATACCATAAAATGTAACATCCTCTTAGTAAATAATTATATTTAGAAATAATAATAAATAACCAAAATAAATGAGAAAATAAATCTAGAAAGATTAACTGGAAACACTAAATTAATACTTTTCTTCTATTAATGTATAAGTATAATAATAGATCTGAGAGGAGCCACAATATTTTCTAAAATAGATTTGAGGTCAGGATATCACCAGATTAGAATTAAGACTGAAGATATTCGAAAAACAGCCTTTAGAACTAGGTATGGACATTATGAATATCTGGTAATGCCTTTCGGATTGACAAATGCTCCAGCAGTATTTATGGATTATATGAATAGAATTTTTAGACCTTACCTAAATCAATTTGTAGTGGTGTTTATAGATGATATTTTAATATATTCTAGGAATAAAGAAGAGCATAAGGAGCAATTTTTACAGACTTTAAATGTGGTAATTTTCTCTCCAGTAGGAAGAAAGATTTCAAGATAAGAGGATAGAATTGATATTGGTAACTTTAACTTTTGAGTAGAAGATAAAGATATGAAAGAATGAGTAGCCCCAGAATCAAACAGTACAGTTATAAGAGAATCTTGTATTAGACCAGTACCTTGAACCAAATTTGAAGTTTGAGCCGCTTCCTGACCACTAAGAGTGAAAACTCTTCCTCTGGTTGCAGGTTGAGTTGATAAATTCTGACCTTGATTCTGAGGACACTGCCTCAGCATATGTCCAGGCTTTCCACACTTAAAGCATACACCTCTTCCTGCTAGGCATTCTCCAGCATGATTCTTTTTGCATTTTGGACATACCTGAATCTGAGAATTCATCTGTCCTATATTCTTCCTTCCTCTGTTGTTAACAAAGTTATTCCCTGAGTTTTGTGCCTGTGAAAATCTCCCTTTGTTGTTGTCATCGTTCTTTCTCCGGCTTGAAACTCTGTCTTTTTCTCTTCCCTCCTCAGCTTCCTTCATGCTTGCTTCAATGTCTTTGCACCTATTTATTAATGATGAGCAATTCCTGATTTGATGTCCTATTATCATACTTTTTATTTCAGGTTTTAGTCCATATTCAAATTTAGTTGTCAGCCATTCTTCATTAGGTTGATTTTGTATACAATTAGAATATCTGGATAATTCCTCAAATTTTGCCACATATTCTCCAAGAGTCATGTTCCCTTGTTTCAATTCAAGAAATTCTATTTCTTTTCTGTTTCTTATACTCTGAGGAAAATATTTTTCTAAAAAGGCATCTTTAAAGATTGTTCAAGTAATCTCTGTTCCTTGGCTTTGGAAATATCTTTTGGTATTTGTCCACCAATGCTCTGTTTCTCCAATCAACAAGTATGTGGCAAAATTTACACGATGAGTATTAGGACAGTCCATTACTAGGAATATTTTCTCAAGTTCTTTCACCCATTCCATGGCTGCCTCAGGGTTATAGTCTCCACGAAAAGTGGAAGGTTTATGCTTACGAAATTCAGTGAGTCCTTTATAATCAGAATTAAGTCCTCCCTAGTATCTACGGTTCTAGGTCCATTCTCACTTTCAGAGTTATGGGTGTGATTTCGGATCACACGATCCTCCCTCAACTCCTGAATAATTTGCTGATTAGTCACCGTTTGTTCTCTAAGAGCTTCTGCCACTCGTGTAAACGCATCCGTTACTGGGTTAATTTCTGGTTCAGAAGTTGAAGAAGATACTTGCATTGTACCTGCCATAGATCTACATATATTGTTTTATGATAGTAAGTTGATCAGGCTCATTAAAATAACTCAAAATATGCATGATCTATGACAAAGTACCAAGCAACTATAATAGTTTAGGTCTTTTATTTATCTGAACCGTTGCTCTGATACCATAAAATGTAACATCCTCTTAGTAAACAATTATATTTAGAAATAATAATAAATAACCAAAATAAATGAGAAAATAAATCTAGAAAGATTAACCGGAAATACTAACATCCTTCATTTATTACACATGGATGTAAGTTAGTACAAATATCTTACATTCCAAATATTTTACATCGGTTCCACACATATATTACACTCCTACTACATCAGGTTACACTGTTTATTCATTACATACTTCTCAATCTAGTCTAGCCTATAGGTATAGGACTCCACACTGTCTGCATGAACTATAGCTGCTGCTCCTTGGTTTCCAACTGTTATGTAAAATTCCCAACGATCGTCATAAAAATAAACATTCACAGTCCATCCTTCTCCAGAAAAAGATAGGTTAGGCATGATGATTTTCTGGAAAGGTTAGCATAAAATAAACACACTGTGAGATAATTCTCAGTAATATTGAGATGTTTGAACTATAACCATTTCAGCCATAATAATGGAAAATATCAATCTCCCAAGTTAGTTTATAACTGAAATAATAATAACAATAAATAATGTAATATTTAACTGAAGCCAATTTAATTTCTAATTTTGTGGGTCTCCTACTTGTGAACAATTATGATATGGCGGAGCTCAAGCCATGATAAGGCGTCCCTTATCCTAACTATCTGATCCCAAACTTTTGAGGGTCAGTTCACAGTAGTAACAAACAGTTAAAATTTACACATCCTTTTATTATTTATTTGGTACCAAATAATTTGTTAAATCTTACTACTAAGGAAAATTTAAAATTTAATGAATATCCTAATAACATAAGAGTTAAAACAGAATTAAAAGAAAGATTAAGGTAAGAATATAGATGCAAATAATATTCAATAAGAAAAGAAATAAAAATAATATTTTGGCAGAATAACAACATTACAATTTTCTAAAAATAAATAAATAAAATAAAACTAAAAGGAAGAAAATAAAGAGAAAGTTTTACTCTCTCAATACTACCTTTTCTCTATTATGCCTTCGTCTTCTCCTTTTTTTTTTTTTTTTTCGTATACTCTCCTCTCTCTGTAATTTCTCCTCTTCGTAACTTTTCTTCTTTACTGACCATAAAATGTATAGACTTATATGACTCAGAGTGGCGCAGCGGTAGCGTGGTGGGCATGTAACATCCCAACAGCTGGCAAGGGCAGGGAGTGATCGCCGGTGCGAAAGAGTACGGACAATGAGCGGCTCATGCCAAATCTTGTAGCTTGGGGGTTCATGAATGAATTGAATCAACACCCGAAAGAGAGGGATTCCAGAGACTGTGCTGGTATGGGACGGTACAGTTAGGAATGACTTATAAGAATTAATTGGTACTACCTATAGGAACAAGATGCATCTACTTTTCTGTAGCCCGGATCGGAAGAACTCCACAATTAAGCGTGCTTGACTTGGAGCAATTCTGGGATGGGTGACCTCCTGGGAAGTTTTCCCGGGAAGTGTGCGAGTGAGGACAAAGCACATTGAAAAGTCTCGTGTTAGTGTGTGGGACAGTCATTGATTCTTGCAAGTGGCCGGGTGTTACATAAAACGAAAATTGGTTTGATGGTTTTAGTTCTCATGTTATTTTCTCACTGTTTTATGTTGTTTTTAATATAAAAATCACACATTTTTTGTGCCAAGAAAAATCGCGATCCATAGCTCGAAAAATCATTTTTTAAACTTCCACAATTTCTAAAAATGGGTAAAAATATGCTATTTTTGAGATAAATTATATTAAAATCTCGGTTTGTTGTTTATGAGCTGTTTGTGATAAGAATCTCTCAAAAATATGCTATTGCTATTTTTGAGTTTTGACAAAGATCCCATGGTGGAACTCGATTTTGGGCGGGTCAACTTGCCAAAGGAAGAAAAAAACACTACGATAGAGAAATCTCAAGAAATCTTAGGGGTTAGGGTGAGATTGTGAAAGTGGCATCTATTTATATTTCTTATTAAAAAGTCTCATGAAATTCACACCAATAAAAAATCTATTAAAATCGTTAGATTTTTGAATATCACAAGATTATTTTTCATTGTTTAAAATATTGATTGAATACCAATGAATTTGGACGAATTCTAAAATAATCTTTTAAAATCCTAATCGAATATCATGTGATTTTTTTCAAACCATTAAAATCCTAATTGAATACCAATGGATTTTTTTGTCCAAAAATAATCCATTAAAATCCTTTAAAATCTCAATCCAATACACCCCCTTAGATCCAAAAATTGATTAAATCTAATTATTATTTTTTGTTTGAATTTCAGCCTTTTTTTTATTTTGATTGGGTTGAATTAGTTGATGAAGATACCAAAAGTCAAGATAAAATTAATAAAAAAATTAAATAAATTTTTATTTTCAAAGTAACAAAAAAAATAAGTTTATTTAAATAACTAATATTTTAAAACAATACGACAGTTCCGAGATTTAGATTAATTCCTTTATCAATTAGTTCAAAATTAATTCAATGAAATTATAAACCAAATTGCTTTAACTAAAATACATTCATATTCATTTGCAAATGTCAGGACATAGTTTAGAGAACACCTCTTTTGCTCGTTCCACTTCATTTTTTTTTCAAGTTGTCATTTTCTTTTTTCAATATGTTAATTTGAAGTTTGTTTCGTTAGGATTAAGCTCTATTCAAAGTTCGTCTCTTGAAGAAAAAAAAAAGGACTTGGGTGGGTTGGGTTGTGCATTTTTTGTCCGAGTTTCACGTTGATAAACAAGAAGAATGAGCAAGAACAGGAAGCTCCATCGGCCAAGGGATCTTTGTGGGCTTTGCATTTTGTAACGGTGTGCTTGTTGTTTCAGAACCTGGGTTTGTGCAGTTCTTGAAATGAAGAAGGTAGTTAAATTTTGAGTTTGTGGTATCTTGCGCTCTCCTAGTATTTATTGTGGATGTACCTTGGAAGATGCTGATAAATGATTTCTCTATGCAGGTAACGCTATTTTGAAGTTGAAGCAGAGAATAACGAGTGAACCTTTTGGTGCTTTGTCAAATTGGATTGATGATGAAGCATCTTCTGACCCGTGTAATTGGTTTGGAGTTGAGTGCTTAGATGGAAGAGAGGATAAATTTGTCCCCAAAAATATGGAAAATATTCCCACATGGTGGGAATCCGAAAATAATACCCACCCGATGGTATTTTAATTTGGGATTTTGCTTCACTATTTCGAATCTTGGGAATTTGATTTTTTCATGAAATTTTTTACAATTTTTATACTAAACGTGGGTATATAGTAGGGGTATAAATGCGTCAGGCTGACCCAGCCCAGCCTACAGTCCGGCCTACATTAAACATAGCTTGGCCCGACCTTTCAGAAAAAGTAGAGTAAGTTCAGGCGTTTAAAATTTTTTTTTTAACAAATAGGCCATATGCCAATTTTGTCAACCCTGGCCCAAAGCCTTGTAGGCTGGCCTATTTAATTTTTTAAAAATAAAATAATAAAATTATTTATTTTATGTGGCATGGCAAAATACTAATACCAACCCTAATTTTTAGATGAATGACATTCTTTTGCAGACTTTATTTCAGCACCCAATAATTGTATTTTTCTTATTTTCTCCATTTCTTTGACTCTATTCCTCTATGATATACATTCTAAAGCTGGGGTATTATGTTGACTCTTTCTTGTTTGTTATTTTTTTTCTTATGAGAAGTACTAGTACATTCATGAATGAAACTTTCTTTGCTACAATTATTTTCTTTGCTTAGTATCTACAGTAGTAGGCCTACAAGGCCTGTAGGCCATGGCAGACTTTCTTATTTTTAAAAATAGGCCAGACTTGGCCTACAAATAAAGCCTTTGATAGGCTAGTAGGCCAGAGAGACTAAATTTTTTGTTACGTAGGCTTGGGCCATGAAGGTCAAAGCTCAGCCCAGCCCAGCTCATTTACACCCCTAGTATATAGGATTCCCGTTATTAGTTTTTCAAGAATCTAAAATTTATCCATTTAACAAACGCAGCTAAAGATATGCCTTTTCTCCTTTGAAGTGGTGACATTGAAGTTTGGAAAATTCTTGTTGTGTATAAAAAAAAATTAAGAAAATTAGTAATCTTCGATTACTCATAAAAAATGATAAATTTTTTGGTCAATAATTGTCTATGAATAGAATGAGTTAGAACTTTTAACACCATTTGAGAAATATTTATGGTACATCCGTCGCACATTGCATTTAGTGTGACGGACCAATAAAAATGGAGCATCAACTGTGATATCCATACAGAAAATAGAAGAAAATATGTTTTTAATTCAAATGTCAAATTCTGAATGACAGATGCAGGTATCACAG